CCGCCTTCGCCTTTGCGGCAGCCCTGTTCATCACTGAACGACGATCCATCACAAAACCTGCACAACAAAGGAAACAAACATCAGACAAGAAGCATAACAAAGTCAAGGACGATGAAAGGGTATTTCCGTCGGCTTCAGCGGGCACACCCAAGTCCGGGCCATCAGGCACCTCAAATGTAGTAGTCATCTTCGACCACAATTCGACGTCCTCCTCATTATTGCCATATACAAAGTACCTAAAGAAGCCGAGGGCAGTCATCTTGTACTCAGTGATATAGTCCTTCACGCTCCTCGGCCCTCCTTCCAAGAACGCTGCCACCTGAGCGTCCAAGATCGAACTCTTCGGCGTGTCATGAAGATTGAACCTCCCATCATGGCCGACGGAAGGAAACTCGGCGCCTCCTTCGCCCAGCAACACAAAGACGAATTTGCTCTTCCAACCGGGGATGGACGAAGGAAGATCGACGAAGCTCCTCTTCTTTGGCAACTATTGGAGAGTGGCATAGCTGGCGCAATTCTTGTGACTCCCTCGGCCTATCTGATACAGATTCATGAAGAGGGTCGTCGTCGGCTTGTAGTTCAGCTTGGCGCAACGAAGAAGAAACCCGACTATCAGCGAGTAGCTGTTAGGGGTCAGTAGGGCTGAAGGAAGTCCCACCATGTCTAAATACTCAGTAACGAAAGGATGAAGCGGGAACCGCAGCCCTTTGGCGAAGCTCATCAGGTACACTCCAAAATATCCCGGCGGTGGATTGAGAACATGGTCCGTCGGCCTGGGAACCCTTACCCTACCGAATGGCCCCACGTACATCTGGGCGACCAAGTACTCACCCGCGTTACTCTGCAGCCTAATGATGTGGACGTTGGTGAGATCCAGGTAGGAGAAGCCTGGTCTTTTCTTCGGCCGCTTGACTCTCTTTGGCGGCGCTGCTCCCTTAACAGCGGATACTGGCTCCGGGCATGGAATAGTAGCCGAAGTAGATGCCCCGTCCGCAGCTCGGGAGACCCCTGCGTCCTCATCCCCAGCCGACGAGGCGGAATCCTCATCCTCGCCATCTTCGTCCATCTGCTCCCCGGATTTGAAGGGGCTCAAGTGTTCAATCTCTTCGCAAAACTCTTCGACAACTTGGAAGTCAAGGGATTTGGTGGAGGGCTCGTCATCGTAGGGATAATACTCCTCGTTCAGGGTTTTCATCTTAACAACTTCTAAGACACTAAGGGGATCTACTTTAGATCTAAGGTGTTTTTGTGGCTAACACTGAATCAAAGCCTAAAGGAAGCAAAGTATGCAAGGAATCGAGAAAAAGTTTGAAGAATTGACCTTGAAGCTTTGAAGAACACGAAGAACACTTGCAAGGACTTTATATCTCTAGAAATTTGGGCAGCACTTCGGTAGCTCAGATCGCAAATGAGGATTTTCTTCGGAATGGGAGGGGTATTTATAGCCCCCCCCCCCAACGGTCACTACACATGGCACCTCCCTAGTGGCCACACCAACGGCCACCAATGGGATGCCACCACTTCGTAAATGGGCCAGGCCTAGTCCACAGATCAACAGCCCACCAGCAAAGCAGGCTCTACGGAGCAAGGAATGGGAAAATAGCACCCACAACAGCCAAGTCATTCAACGGCCAACACAGGCTACGGCTACCCAGGTAGCACCCGTATCGGCCATTCAAGCGGCCATACATATCATGTAAAGAAAGGCCTTACAACGGCCACAACACCACAAGGGAAGGGAACCCAACGGCCATCGGCCCTCGCACAAAACCCTTGATGATAACCCTTTGAAAGCGACCTGCGTCCAAGGATTCTCCCACAAGGTTACCTTGGTCAGGAAATCACCAAAGGGTTGGATTCAAGGGAAGTATGAGGATCCCGCTTCAGCCTGGGTCTCACACTACTCCTTCACCCCTCACTCACTCTTCGGCCTGAAGCAGTGGGGGACTGGGGGACTACACCGGCATCAAAACACAAAAATGGAAAGAGTAAAAAATACACAAATACACAACTACAAACGTGATCATATCGGCTATGCATCACAATGGTTTCAAGGTCCCTGTAAGTGCCATCTCCGGCCAGGGCAAAAGCGCAACACGTGCATCGTCCCCAAGACCTCGGTCAACTAACCACCACACACCGCCTCGACTAAGGGCACGGTAAGTGATCAACGACGGCCAGAAGGAGCAAACAGCGCCCTCAACGGCCACCCAAGACAAAGGACGCTCATCGCTCTCCAACAAGAGATAGCCACAATGGCCTCCTCGGCCAAAAGTACGACATTCAATCAACAACGGCCAGAAGGAGTGAACAGCGCCCTCAACGGCCACTCATGCCAAAGACACATATCGGCCATTCACAACTGCAGACCTTCACCACCCCCATCAAGCAAGGGTATCCACCGTCCTAGAGAGCAAGGAACACGTACCATCCGCATGGCTAGGATCTCTCCCGTCCACGATAGGGACACGCAACGGCCAAGCATAAAAAGAACAGGAATCTACTCTCCTTCACTTCGTCTACATCTCAGCTTAGAGAGTGGGGGACTCCTGATGGAGTATATGGGTCTAGGCCCCAGGACCCGCATACTCAGGAGAACAGAAGGCACAGCTGTCACCCAGTGGGACCCTCATCGGCCAGGTGACCCTCATCGGCCGGAACGAAGACAACCCAAAACGTGATCCGGAAGCCAGAAAAATCGGGTGACCTCGTCGGCCGGGTCTTCGTCGGCCATGCACTCATCGGCCATACCCTCGTCGGCCACAACGAACTCCCTGAACCGGATTTTACACTTACTCATTTGTATACTCCATCATTTACTTTGTATTCGGCCCAATAGCAGTCCAGTTGTAAATGGGCCTCCCAAGCCCAAGGCTTGGGAGTCCAGCCCGTATTTTTTCTATAAATACTTCCTCTGGAGGTAGTTGTAGGGGTTGGAAAAACATTTATTGAAGCATTTACTTGCACTTCTCTCTCTAGCTCTCACTTCTCTCTAGAGAATAATCTATCACTCACCCTTAAAGACTTTCACTCCATTCAAAATCACCCTTCTGTTCAAATACTTTCACTCTTTGTTGACGTTATTAACTTTACTTAACCGTTGAAGGCCATTTTTAATAGGATCTTTAGTTTTGTATTTTCAACATGCATATTACTATTGTGACAAAAGCGCTACACAGACAAGGACAGGTTTTTAGTGGACGAGCTTTGAGCATATGTGGCATTGTTTATGGATGTGTGAACTTTTGTAATGAAGGAATGAAAGGTTTAAAGCATAAGATAGCCAAATATTTAATTCTTGTAACTAATTACTTTGTAAAGTTAAATGCTAATGTTTTTGTATTGAGAATGTAAGTTTATTCATATTTTCTTTTGTTGTTAAAAATGTATCTTCTAAGTTCTGGAAATGAATATGACTTTAATGTTATTGATTTTCAAATTAAAGTGTATTTAAATTCATTGTGGTGTATAAGTGTTTGTTTTATTCACATGAAATGGATATGTTTTTATTAACATGGAAAATAGTTGTTTGGCTACATATGATTATTGTCTCCATACAAACAAAAATAGGTTATTTGTATTTATATTTGGTAGAGTAATTATTTTGGCTCATACAATTATTCTTTGGGCTTAAAAATACATTGTCTGTGACCAGACAACTATTGTTATTATTGTCTTTGGCCAAACAATAATTGTAATAATTGTCTGTGTAAATAAAATTACCTTAAAAACTATATTGAGAAACAAATTATTTTTGTCTGTACCCATACATTATGTGTATGTGACCAAATATATATATATTTTGTGGGCACAGAGAAATATTGTCTTGGCACATACAAAGATAGTTTGTTGCTAAGTATATTTGCTAGGTATATTGAGACACCCGTTGCTATAAAATCAATAAATCAATATCATTCTAAATAAAAGCATTTAGATACAAAAATAAAAGCAAATCTAAATACACTTACATTCTCAATACAAAAACAAAAACTTTACAAACTACTTTAGATATCATGTGCTCACATCCTCTCGTTCTTGCATCAGAGCACATCAAACATCCATAAGCAATGCCATAAAATGCTCAATCTCATCCAATAGCAAGTAACAACCTTTATTTGTTTCTTTAATTTATTGTTTTTTTTGTCACAAGAGAAATTCAAAACCTGACTATAATCTGCATGTTAAAATAATACAACTGAACATTCTATTAATAAAGAGCTTCAACAATTGAGTAACACAATTTTGCCATGCAAGATAACATAAATGAACACAAAGACAAGTATTATCTGCGTACAAACAAAATAAACGAACACACAAACAATGCTTTAAGCACACACAAACAATATAGACTAAGACATGTACAATGTTTTGACTACGCACATAAAAAACAAATGAATACACATACAACAATTAAGAGAAAATCCACTTTTACCATATAAAAATTGGAATTATAAAAAAGCTTCATTGACATTTCAACAAGCACATTCAAGGCTTGCAAATTAAATTAAGATTTGTTATAATAAATTAGCTAAATAGAAATGAGCAAATACAAGATTATTTTAACAAGGAAAAGGAAGAAATGCCTTTTTTTATCAAAAACAAAAAGCTACTGCACCCTCCATTGTATCAAATGAACATATACAAATTTTGAAAAATCATTGAGTCATTTAACAAACATGTATTGGACATAAACATAAAGTAACTACTTCAACTAAGATTTCAATAATTCACATCACAAACCTATATCAAAGGAACATATAGTCAAGAATTCAACATCATGACACATACTACGTATAATTTACTTAAATCTGAAAAAATATAATCCTATATGAACATAAAAAATGAGTCGATTGTTAATCTAATAATCAAAGCTTTGAGACAAAAAGATCTCCATTATCATTGTTGAAAAAGATCTCCTTAAGGTACCATACATTTGTCCGCATGGACCAATCAGAATGATGTGGTTGAATTATTTAAATCTAAATTAAAAATGATGTAATGATTTGAACCAATCAAGTGAATGATAGATACCGTACCCCATTTTTTAAATGGGTACCGGAATTGTCATCTTAACTCAATAGCTTGAGGAATAGAGGATGAGTTGAAGCGACAAATTTGGAGTGGAGATGTACGAAACTAGCTGAGGGTAAAAGAAAAGAAACGGAAAGGGTAATTGAGAACGGAAAAAACTGGGTTTATATACTGTGTACCAAGCGTGTACATATCACATATGGCGTGTACATGTAGCTTTTGTCTACTTTCTTATATACGCACCACACAAGTTGATACTCCCTCTCTTCCATATTTAACTTCGTTTTTGACTGGGCACATGGTTTAAGATAGTGTGATTTGTGTGGTGGAGAGTTGAAAAAAGGAGAGGGAAATGTGTAAGAATGATTGTGAACAACATATTCTTTACCAAAAAGGAAAATAGGGGATAAATTTGGGACGGACCAAAATGAAAAGAATGAAGATAATTTTGGGATGGAAGGAGCAATTTCTAGGCCACAGTTCACCCTGAACTGGACGTACTCAACCGGTAGATACGGGGTGCCACCAACAGTAAGTCTCGGCCTCTCGGCCAGAGAAAAGGGAAGATATATACGCAGTACATAAACACACACATGGCAAAATTGGGACATTATTTTTCAACGTTAATGGCTGCGACGCGTGTCGATTGTTTAACAACTCAAATACCTTTCGAAAAAGTCTCAACTGTCGGTGGGGAAGTGATAAGGGCACCATTACACCACACATTTTCAGCTTATAATTCACCAGTCAATATATATTCATATATAGTACTCCTACCATATGCTCTTCCAGATAAGATTTATTAATTATTCCTCATAACACAATATAAATAAGTATATCCACAGTTTTCTTCTTCCTCGGAGGGTTTGTTTAGCGTTTCGTTAGAAGCTGTCTTCTTAACTCTGCTTCCTCACTGTAAAATGGAAGCTGCAGGTTACATACAGAGGTTTCATAGGCATCATCCGAAAGAACACCAAAGTTCTGGGACTGTTATGAAGCACATCAAAGCCTCCACAGATATTGTAATTCCCTCCCTACCCATCACCCTTATATACATATATGTTCTTTACACATAGTTTTAATTAAGCCTAATTAGTTATTGCAGACTAGTTAAACTTTATGTGTAGAAGTTATTTGCAAAAGTTGCCTAGAGAGAGCCTAATAGGAGCCTGATAACTTCTCAGAATTTTGTTTCAATAGGAGGATTACATTTTAGAATCACTTCAACCATGATCCTCATTAATGTTTGTACTTTTTACCAATAGAATAGTCAGAGTTTGAAGTCTAAATAATTGTTTCAATAGCTATGTTTTGAGAAATAAAAAATTAAATGTAAACAAGAAACATGAAAGAGATTATGCTATGATGGGACTCCAAGAGCCCAATTTCTGCTACAAAAATGAGAAACTGTGTGTGGATCAGTCTCTTCGCTCTCTTCGAATGGGTCGTTGACGGGCTTTCATTGTGTTACCAAATTTTAAAAATCCTGATTCTAGGTATTCTTTAACTATTGAATGAATTAATATAATGTTAGTAGACTGAATTAATACTCACACACATACTAGTACATAACTATATTTTTGAAAACTTGAGCTTTCTAAATTTTGAGGTCTTACCCAGCTGGACTAAACAACCCCTTTCGGGTCAACCTTATGCGTTGATTTATTGTATTATATTATGGAGAATTATATAGTGTTGGACTGTATTATATTCATAGTTGGACCGGAGTCATACAAGGTTTAAATTTAGCACTAAACTAAAGTTTTAGTAATAAAAGTAATATTAAATTTCAATGTATGTGAGTCTGCCCTGCCAGGGACGGCGATGCAACAACTAGAGTTTCAAATATCACCGAATTTAGCCACCATAGTGAAGGGGCTAATTTGAGCTACATGGTTACTTAGCATGGGACTGTAATTTTGATTATTGTGTGGTAATAAGGAGATCAAAGATTATATATTGGCGATTTACCGTGTTTGCATTTTTGGTGGTACATAGGTTTGGTCATTGGTGAGGAGGTTTGATGAACCACAGAAGTATAAGCCATTCATCAGCAGGTGTAGGGTGAATGGTGTTGCAGTTGGGAGTGTCAGAGAGGTAAATGTCAAGTCAGGACTTCCAGCCACCACCAGCACTGAAATGTTGGAACTTCTTGATGATAGTGAACATATTCTTGGAATCAAGATTGTTGGAGGTGATCACCGCCTAAAGGTATATATTTACTTCTTTTTTTTGAAAGAAAAGGTATATATTTACTTATTTTTTGTGATCCAGTATTCATAGCAATTGTGATTAAAACTTGGGTTTTTTTATTTGGAGTATGAAAGACATTAGGTTTTTTCATAAAAGATTATCTTGATAGGAGGGTTTGAAACGCTCCTTTAGCCTAAACTGAATTGGTCAACTTGAAGTTGCATAAATGAGCCATCCCAAAACAAGCAACCTTTAATCAGAGTGTCAAAGTTGTTTTTGTCTGTGCAGCCAATCTCTCTCTTTCTCACTATAAAAAAGACTAGCTTTCTTTGAAATCTAAGTATCTAACCTATCCTATTTGTTGGATGTAGCATCCAAAATTGAAAGCTTTAAGAGCACAGTTTTTAAGTTATATTGAGTTGTTTCAGCCAAGACTTCTGTTTCAAACCAAATGACATCAGACCAATATCATGTAAGACTTGTAGTTCAGCTCTTAAAGGTTAACCTGGTATGGGAACCAGTCATGTTGTAAGTTAATTATTGATAATTAACTGATGAAGCAAATCTTGAAATTCTCATGTTTTTAATTTAGACAGCTTAATTAGCTGCAATGCCATATAAACTACTTCATATTTGAGTTGTATTCCAAAAGATCAACCTGAGGAAGAGTTAGTGAAGTATAAGTATACTGATCTATGTTTTATTTACTAGAGATCGGTTTGATAAAGCTAAACACTTCACCAAGTCTAATTGGTTTGACCGGATGGAATGTAAGCATGCATTGTAAATGTAAAGTATTTAAACTGTGGCTGGTTTTTTTACAGAACTACTCATCAGTCATTACACTGCATCCAGAGATGATTGACGGGAGGCCAGGAACGCTGGTGATCGAGTCGTTCTTGGTTGATGTTCCGGAAGGGAACACACAAGAGGACACCTGTTACTTCGTCAATGCCCTTATCAACTGTAACCTCAAAGCTCTGGCTGATGTCTCCGAGAGGATGGCGGTGCAGAGTAGATGGGGTTGAACCTCAGCTTCTTGTTCAGTGTACCGGGTAAAGGGTCCCATAATGTTGGGATTGGAGAGATTGCTTGAAGCAATCCACTTTCTCATCTATGCATATTTCCTCTAGCTAGCTAGGACTTCAATTGGGGTGGGGTTGATTTGCTTTTTGTTATAGTTAGGAAGGTTAAATAATCTGTAGTATCTGTAAATATAAAATATGCTGCTTTGGAACATGTGGAAGCAAAGCAAGTCAATAATTATGTTGTACCTACTGCGTGCATATTTTTTCTAAGCTTCCTCTATTATATATAAAAAAAGGATGACACCCCATCCCTGAGTACCCTCCAACACCCACCGAACAGTTAGATGAGAGGATGTAAATTGGACTTTAATCGCAAGCTGACAGATAGAAAGTGAGGCTCTGGTACTTGCAGTGGTCCTATGCATTTTAGCAGATTATGGGCCCTTTCAGAGGCGTCTGTTATGATACTATCCTAAGTCATCTTTTACATTAAAAATTTCACAGCAGTCCTTGCTAATGAGGAATGCCAAGCTGCTTCAACCATCTAGTATAGAGTATAGACCCTTCAAAGGGGGGATATGCTCTTCTTCCATTTCTCGCACTCCCCTCCTCGGGACTGACCTAAAAATGAACAAAAGCCTTAATTTAGCTTACTTAAAATTGATACTGTGGCAGCGGCTATTACGACCGGCTTCTGGGCAACTTTCACTTTGGGCTTCATGACAGCAAGGAGAAAGAGTTCACTGCTTGTGTCTATGGCAATTTGTTTTGAAGGAGAATGGTTTACTTCATGCGGCTTTGAATGAAGTGAAAGGATAAGGAGTTCGTTATATTAATATGAAAGCAACTCTTTGAACTTTGTAGCTGAATGCCAACAAAATTTTGAGGAAAACAGTAAACAAGATGGAATGAGAGGAGGGGGAGGTGGTGAGTGTAGAGAAGAAAGAGAAAGGAACATGTTGAAGTATTTCTAAATTCTACTACGTAACAAGAACATGGAGGTATTAATACACATAATTTTTTGTGTGCAGTAAAATTCCAAGTATGAAGAAATACATAAAGTTATATGATAAAACCTTTAAATAAGAATTTAGGAGAAGAAATAGCAGTAAAACAGTAACAATAAAAGTTGATATATTTGAAACGGAAAAAGATTTTGAAGAAGTAAAAGTTTAAGGTATTCGGTTAAAATATGTTTCTAAAAATTAAATTTGAGGTTTGACTTCAGAGTTATATTTTTGAAATTTACATTAACAAAAATTTAATAACATTTTATACATAATAGTAGAATATTCCCTAACTAGGACTAAAACTTCTACAAAATGCAATAATAGGACTGCAAGTGTTTGTAGTGCTCCGTAGTACTAAAGTGAGGTGACATGACAACATTACCCTTAATGAGTAGATCAGTTTATTAATTAATTAATAATACAAAATGAAATAATAAAACAAAATGGGAACCCCAACCGTCCTCACGCACAAAACAAAGTGGTAGTGCAACCTCCACTGTCACTATCGGCGTCGTCGCCACCGCCACCGGCGTCGGAGCTGCCACCACCGACGTCGGAGCTGCCACCACCAGCGTCGAAGCTACCACCACCGGCGTCGAAGCCGCCGCTGCCATCGGCGTCGGAGCTGCCACCACCGGCGTCAGAGCTGCCATCACTGGTGTCGGTGCCGCCGCTGCCATACCGGCATCGTCGTCGCCTCATCTGCAACCTTTGGCATCGCCGCTGCCGACCTCCATTGATTTGACCATGGTAGAGCTCAGATCCGTCTCAGAGCTAGTGAAAAATCATTTAATGCCATGTTAAAATCGTAATGTCATTTTGTAAAAAATACATGACATTAATGGTCATAAAATATGACATTATTTGCCTAACATATTTAAGTAGCATTGCTATCTTTTTGTAAATAAATGCCAACTTCGAAAATGTAAGATGACATTATTTGACAAACATATCAGAAACATGTCATTTTAAAAATAATTTTTTCATCTCAATACATGTAATATAATTAAAACAATAAATATTTTTTTCATCTCTATACATGTAATATAATGAAAACAACATTATTTTTCAAATATGTTTTTCGAAAAAATAAACATTAGCTATAGATTTTTCAGATCGTACAAAAAGATATGGCATGGCTATAACGACCGGATGGTACGTTGGGAGGATGTAAATTGGACTATAACCTCAATCTTACAGATAGAGAGTGGGGTTCTATCACCGACCGGATGATACGTTGAGAGGATGTAAATTGGACTATAATCCCTTATCGCAGTTGTCGGGATTCGAAATCGGGACTTAACCCCTGTGTCACTTCATCGCTACCGGTTGAGCTATGCCAACCGGTACTTCATTTTTTTTAACTTTTGACTTTGAAATACTTAATTTAAATTTAATTTCAAGTAGAAACTCACTTTTGTATTTTGAAAATACAGTATTCTGCCGGTGGGCGTAGCTCACAACTGTGTATGGAGTTCGAATCCTACACTGTGTATCTGAATCAGAGTCTACTCGCTATCTCACAACTGATGTACTGATGATAGCATAAATGGCCAAAACCCAAAATCGACGATCAGGGCCCCGGCGGAATGATCGGGCTGCCTCTTCGGGGAACCAGAACAGCGGTTCAGTAAATTCCCCCGCAAAGAAAAGAGGCCGGGAGCTCCCCTCTCTCTACACCCTTTTCTTTATTATATGTGTGGCCATATCTGCTATCGCATATCGAAAAATATACTCTCCGGCCACTGTTGTTGGTTCTCACAAACCATACCTTTTTCAGCACGGCTTGGTCAAGACTGATTTGAATTATGACGAAGTGCTCACTGTATGTACTGTTCTTGGTCCACATTTAGTTTCCCTCTTCTCATTCCAGATTTCCAGCCCTGCCATGTTAACAAAAAAATCTCATTTTGAAATATTTCTGAGGTTTTCGTTGGGTTAATTTTAAGAATTCCAGGCAAATTTTGAAGTAGATGAAGAAGATTCAACCAAAGCACGTCGTCATTTTCAGAATCCTGTACTGGCTTATATCACGCCCTGGTAATTTCATATTCTGCAATTTGAATGCTTTGAATCCCGAAACCTCTTGCAGGAAAGTTAATGATGAGACTTGTAGAAATATGCCTTTGAATTTTTTAGTGTAAGACTTCAGTTTCTGCTTTGCATAAAATATGCCTTTCAATTTTTTAGAAATACACAGTTATAGACTTGTAGTATGCTGGCTATGGCATCGAGTTGAGTTAGTACAAAAAGATAATTTCTTTTGAATAGAATTGTAAAAGAACTTGCTCCCTTTTTATGGTAGCATATTAGCATTAAATAAAGAATAAAATATACTAAGTAGTTTCGATTGCCTACAGCCTACCATATGTAGAAGTTATTTTTGCATTCACCCTAATCTGTAATAGCATCAACAATAATGCCCACTATGACTTGGACAGTATTCAAACTTGAGACTTTCACTTTGGGAGATACGTAGTATCATTAATGCCGTGAAACCACATGATGCTCAACACCAGATACAGAAGGTTATTCCTTTTATACATATAACTAGCTCTTTTAGCTAGTTATTCCACTTTGTTGAGTTATTCTTAAAGTTTAGTTCTTAGATTTTTGTCCTTGAAGTGCTCTCTCGTGATCTTGTATTTGGTTCAATGCTTGGGAGGGATGGATAGGGGATGCGTTTTAATCTTAATCATTTGGAGAGTTTAGAATGCGGAGGAGCGGAGTCTTTTATACGTATAATAAGGGCAAATTCTTGTTACGATAAGTGAATTAACAACTACAATCATGAATGAGCATGTTTGTAGAGAGAGAGAGAGATGAAGGTTATGAGGGGAGGGGAGGGAAATTCCAACTTTTGTGTAATTAAACAAGTTACAACCCTGGCCTCTGACCAAACAATACTTGATGGGTTGTTTCCATGAATAATGGTGCAGGAATTCAAAAGGTTATCACCTGGCAAAGAAGTTTGCCTCCAAATTTACACATCTGTCACCTGTTTGGTATCAACTTAAAAGGTAAAGAACTTACATTCTGAATCGCGACATTGCTTCGTAGCCACATCATGCTGTTGCAGGTTTTTAGATAATTGATAATATTAGTTACATCTAGGCCTGCCAATGGGCCTGGTAGGGGTCGGAACTTACAAGTCTAGACCCACCCATAACAGGCCTATCTACATTAACTATCTCAAGCCGATGCAACAATCCAAACCCTTATTTAGTTATGTTGGTTTGAGATAGACTGTACTTGTTAAGGTGGTGTGCACACTGCACGGTATTCTTCGTCTTATCTAAAATTATAGACTTATAGTGTGACTGAGTTACTCTCTCATAAGTCAACTGTGTGTCTGAATATAGTGAAGGGGCCAACTTAGTTCTTGATGGAAGGCATAATGCAGATAAAGAATGGATTTTGGACATTCGAAAGAAAGGAGATGCTCTGGTACAACGTAAAACTGCTTCCAAAATTTCAATTTTAAGCAGCATTGCTCTGAATGCAAATATCATGAGTCTCCAATGTCTATTGAGGCTGCCATAAGGCCCATAACATAAAGTGCTAATATTACTTTTCTATCTTCATTGTTCTAGATTTTACCCAGAGTTGTTCTTGAAGCTATCCCCATGGATCTTCTTAAGAGGAAGAAAAAGAGGGATAAAGCTATAAGAATTATTATTGCAGAGTGCAAGTAAGTTTTTGATTTTGGTACTATTGTATCAACAACTGTTATGAGTTAGAAATAGTTGTCCCATACTCCCACCATTTGAAATTAAATACACATGCGTTTTCTCTTTCTACTCGTAGGGTCAGTTTTGAACATGAAAAATGTGAGGCGAAGAATATAAGAAGAAAAATAGAGGGAAAATTTGGAAGTAAATAAAGTCTGGTAGGAATTATACAAATTGGTTCAAACTTAAGATATCAATTATCATCTTTATATCATCGCTCAAATACACACACACACATTTTTATAAAAATATTCCTGAAAAGTCCAATAAATTTAAATGCACTTAAAATATTGAAAAATACATAATCAAATACAATTTTCTTTCATACTTTATAAGTAAACCAAACATAAAGTTACAATTTTCTTCTTCTGGAAGGGGAGCCTTGGCGCACCGGTTATAGTGTTGTCGTGTGTCCAAAAGGTCACGGGTTCATGTCTTGGGAGCGGCCTCGTCAAAATTTGACTAGGGAAGGCTTGCCCCTTATACACCCTAGTGGTGGGACCCTTCCCCTTACTATCGCCTTGTGGGGATGCCTTCGTGCACCGGGCTGCCCTTTTTTAGCATCTTCTTCTATCCCTTCCATTTTCCAGTTACCAAACATAGCTTAAATGATTTCAAATTATTCTTATTTCCCTGAAAGCATTTATTTGAGACCCTTCCATATTATGAAGGGAAATGGAGTATGATGGTATTGTTCTTGAGTCCTGGTCAAGGTGGGCAGCTTATGGTGTGTTGGATGATCCTGATATACGGAATATGGTAAAGCATTGGACATTGCATACTGTAGTGTATGATTCTGTTTTATTTTTGGAGTAATTATTCTTATATCCATCTAAAGATTATCACCATTGTTCACTTTTCTTCCAAATGTTAAAGAAACTAGAAGTTAAAGGGTTATGCCATTTATTTAGCATGTCTCATTTTGACTTATAAGTCAAAGTTTCTTCAGCGATTCTGATGACTCTTCATTTGACAGGCATTGCAGTTTATACGACAGCTTGGAGAAGCCATGCATTCTGTAAGCTTGGAAAGAAACAAGAAGAAAACACTGGAGTTAGTTTATGTGATAGGCCCACCACATTCCGATAAGCTGCAGGATCGTGATTTTGGGACCAATGATTTACAAAGTTTGGGTGATGCTGTGGATGGTTTCTCTCTTATGACTTATGACTTCTCAGGACCCCAAAATCCAGGCCCAAATGCACCACTTAATTGGATACACTCTACGTTGCAGCTCCTTCTAGGTGGTCGTGTAGGACATGATCAGAGTTTGGCTAGAAAGATATTTCTTGGCATCAATTTCTATGGAAATGATTTTGTCATTTCAGGAGGTATATCAATGTCCCATCCAATTACAATTATGTGATGTGCATTTAGGGTCCATTTGGAATGCGGGAAAACAGAAAACGCTAGGCGAAGTAAACGGGGAGGATTAGATTAAAGAAAATTTCTAGGAAAGAAAATGTTGAGGAAAATAAAGCATTTTTAAATTCAATCAATATATTTCTATTATTTGTTCGAAGTCATTCTTTTTATTTGTTGTTAACATGTTATCATATAAATACTAAGCATTCTTCGTGCGCTTCTAGCGCTTATGCTGTGCCTTGCCCAGGGTTGTGCGCTTCTTCCTTACTCGGGCGCTAGGGGTGTGCCTCGCTGCGCTTTGTGCGCTTAAGCGCAGAAGCGAGCGCTTTTGACAACACTGAGCATTCCAAACATATACCAACAACAACAACAACAACATCCAAGCCTTAGTCCCAAAAGATATTGGGGTCGGCTAACATGAATCGATACATGATATCACAACCAAAAGGAAAAGAAAGAATAAAGATAAAAAGATAAGCTATTATGAAAAGATAATATAAAAAAGATGAATATATATAAAAATGATAAGATAAAAAGGCTGCAAATAATGCATATATATATATATATATAAGGATAAAAAAAACTAGGAAAAAAAACATGAGGGAAAAAGATTATCAAGATCACTCCTTCACGTGAATACCCGCCCTCCACTTAGTTCTCTCCAAAGTCATGCCCTCATCCAACCCCAGAAGAAGCATATCACTTCGAACTCCCCTAACCCACGTCTGTTTGGGTCTTCCTCTCCCTCTCTTCCCTGCCTCTTCTCCACACATCTCAACTCGCCTAACAGGTGCATCACTCGGTCTTCTACGCACATGACCAAACCACCGTAGGCGCGACTCCCGCATCTTGTCTTCAATAGGTGCTACTCCCACCCTTTGTCTGATTGTCTCATTCCTCATGCGGTCCTTCCTAGTATGCCCACACATCCAACGCAGCATGCGCATCTCTGCCACACTCATCTTTTGAATGTGACATTGTTTCACCGCCCAACACTCTACGCCATACAGTAATGCAGGCCTAATTGTTGTCCTATAAAATTTACCCTTCAGTCTAGTCGGCATACCTTGGTCGCATAGAAATCCTGACGCACTCTTCCACTTCATCCACCCTGTTCTGATTCTATGGGATACATCTCCATCTAACTCACCGTCCTTCTGAATTATGGAGCCCAAGTAACGGAACATATCGCTGACTGGTATCTCCTTACCATCCAGAGTAATTCCGCTATTACCACTACTTCTACCTCCACCAAACTTGCACTCCATGTACTCTGTCTTGCTACGACTTAGTTTGAAACCCTTATTCTCCAATGTTTGTCGCCTTACTTCCAACTTTGCTTTAAGACCTGATTGCGTCTCATCAATCAATACAATATCGTCGGCAAACATCATGCACCACGGTATATCGTCTTGAATTGACTTCGTAAGTTCATCCATGACTATGGCAAATAAGAAAGGACTCAAGGCCGATCCTTGGTGCACTCCGATAGTAATAGGGAACTCTTCAGTCCTCCCTACACTAGTACGAACACTTGTAGTACAATCCTCATACATATCCATGATGATGCTGATATACTTGCGTGATATGCCTTTCCTAGTTAAGGCCCACCAAAGAACTTCTCGAGGTACCCTATCATATGTCTTTTCTAAGTCAATGAACACCAAATGCAGATCCTTATGAGCATCTCTATACTTCTCCATAAATTGACGAAGAAGGTGAATAGCCTCAGTTGTTGAGCGACCAGGCATAAAACCGAATTGATTCTCTGAAATCTTCACAGTCCTTCGAAGTCTTTGCTCAATCACTCGCTCCCAAAGTTTCATGGTGTGACTCATAAGCTTAATCCCTCGATAGTTGGCACATTCTTGTACATCACCTTTATTCTTAAATAAAGGGATAAGAGTACTCTTCCTCCAACTCGTTGGCATCTTGTTGTTTCTCCAAATCATGTTGAAGAAACTTGTTAACCACTCGACGCCTCTCTCTCCCAAACTTCTCCAAGCCTCGATCGGTATGCCATCTGGCCCCATTGCTCTTTTCCATCCCATCTTCCTCAGAGCTTCTTTAACTTTCGTTGTTTGGATCCTTCTCACAAAATCACGGTTAACCATACAATCTGGTATGGACAAATCGCCGATATCTTGCGTTTTGTTCCCGTTGAATAGTGTATCAAAGTATGACCTCCACCTCTCTTTTATCTCTCCGTCGTCCATTAATATCCTCTGATCAACATCCTTCACACACTTAACTTTTGCAATATCTTGAGTTCTGCGATCACGAAGATGAGCAAGTCTATAAATATCTAGTTCTCCTTTCTTAGAGTCCAACTTTTCATACAACTCCTTGTTCACTTTCCCTCGTGCTTCCCTTACGGCTTTCTTTGCTTGTCTTTTAGCCTCCCTGTATGCTTCTATGTTCTCATCACTCCAATTTGTCCCCAACTTTTTGTAGCAATCTCTTTTGTTCCTTATGGCTTGTTTCACCTCATCATTCCACCAAGATGTGTCCTTTTTAGGTGGCCGACATCCTTTAGATTCTCCAAGTACCTCCTTTGCCACTTTGTTAATGGTCAACTCCATTGATAACCACACATCATCCACCTGTGTTTCATTATCAATACGCCATACATCTTCACCGACCATTTTGTGTGTAAAGCTTTGTTGAAGATCTCCCTCTAGCCTCCACCACTTTATCTTTGGCTCCACTTGTTGTTTAACTTGTCTTCTATGGTTCTTACCTCGAAAGTCAAGCACAAGCATCCTATGCGGAGTGACAACACTCTCACCTGGAATAACCTTACAATCAGTGTAGCTAGTTCTCCTAGTGGTCCGTACTAAGAAGTAGTCAATTTGGGTACTATTAGCTCCACTTTTATAGGTTACAAGGTGAGAGTCTCTTTTCTTAAACCAAGTGTTCATTATAGCCAACTCATACATCAAGGCAAAATTCAAAATGTTCTTTCTCGCCTCATTCCTAGTGCCAAAACCATGTCCGCCATGAATATTCTCAAAGCCATCACGACTCGAGCCCACATGCCCGTTGAGGTCACCTCCTATGATCAACTTCTCTCCCCTTGGCACTCGTCGCACCACGTCTTCAAGATCTTCCCAGAACTGTTGAGTTGTAGATGCATCCAATCCCACTTGTGGTGCATAGGCACTTACCACAGACACAATCTCACCTCTTATCACCAATTTAATGCTCATGATGCGATCGTTCTTCCTGAAGACTTCTACCACATCCTCAACATAGTCACACGACACAATAATGCCTACCTCATTTCTAGTCTTATCTCTCCCCGAATACCACAACTTAAAACCTCCGGGATTAATCTCGCGTGCTTTCTGTCCAACCCATTTAGTTTCTTGCACACACATAATGCTGATATTCCTTCTGCTCATAACCTCGACTACCTCGGAAGATTTCCCTGTAAGAGACCCAACATTCCATGTCCCAAAACGCAATCTAGCATTCCACCTTCTGTTCTTAGCCCCATCTCGGACCCCACCATGCCCTTGCATATTTGACATCATCCCCGGGCAATGGGATGACGCGCCGCTTCTGGGCGGTGACCTAGCAACCTTAGCATTCTTATCACCACACCCAGGTCTATCAAGTGTAGCGCGCCATTGCATATTTGACACCACCCCCAGACGGAGGGATGACGCGTCACTTACGGGTGACGACCTAGCATTAGCGATTTTCATATTTCGATTCATGTCATGTGATGTGACTAGGTGATACTGTTGGCCGTCACACGCCTACCACAACACCCTCCTCCTTTATCCTGGCTTGGGACAGGCATGATACCAAAAAAAATGATATCATGGCGGAGTTATTCCAAACATATACCGAACATTAGAAAATACATTTATCATATTTTATTTTTCTTTGCATTGTCCATGCTATTACTAAACATAAGAAAATAGTTGTCCTTGTCATTTTCTTTCCTTTCCCAAGTATTTTCGAGGATCCAAATTCCAAACATAGCCTTAATGGTTCCGAAAAGGTTTCAGGGAGTAATATGGATTTGACAAAAAGCCCTCTTTAATTGAGTCTGTGAGTCACTTTACCATATTCTTCTAGGGTAATTCCGACATTCCCCGGATGTTTTCCTGAGTTTTCTTTGTCCATATCTTTACTTGACCAAATAAGTTTGGGCTAGTTTTGACAAAAACGCCTTTTAAGTGAGAGTGCATGAGTCACCCTCCCATTCTCAGGAAGGCTACTTCCGGAATACTCCCTAAATCTTTCTCTGATGGTTTCGTTTCCTCGCCCATTTCCTTATTAGTAGTCTAAATAAGCTCAATTAGATTTGATAAAAATGCCCTTAAAGTTAAGTGTGCGTGTCACCTTCCCTTATTATGCTGAAGGTTACTTCTGGACTTCTGATTTTCATGGCAATGAAAGTATGAAACATGTAATTCGTTTGCAGGATTGGGAGGCGGGCCGATTATAGCGCATGAGTACGTTTCATTGTTGGAGAAGCACAAGCCGGCATTGGAGTGGGAAAAGACCAGTGGGGAGCATTTCTTCGTGTACACTGACGATCAACATGCCAGACATGTTGTATTCTACCCATCGTTCTTGTCACTTGTAAAGCGGCTTGAGGCGGCACTCTCCTGGGATGTTGGCATCTCAATATGGGAAATTGGGCAAGGATTGGAGTCCTTTTTTCATTTGTTGTAATAGTACTCAAGGCTCTCTATTTTGCCTCATTCATAGAAATATAGAATCATAGCCGCTTGTAACACATAAAAATTTGTGTTTGGTTGGAGGAAATAGGAGGAAAGGTTTAATAAAAATATTTTCGCAATTTACTTTTATTTGATAGCTTACTTAAAAAATAGATACATGTTTAACTATTGTGAATATTACTCATATGGTCATGAGTCATAATTTTATTTTATTTGATTTTTTACATTTTTAATTTTATAATTTTTCATTTTTCAGTTTGGAATTTTTATTTTTTTTATTTTTATTTTTTAATTTTTTTTATTTTTAATTTTTAAAAATTTTAATTTATACTCGTAATTTTTAAATTTTTAAATTTTTAAAATTTTTAATTTTTTAATTTTTAAATTTTTTAATCTTTAAATTTTTAAAACTTTAAATTTATTAATTTTTCAAAACTTTTTGTTTTTTACCTTTTTATATTATAACGTTTTGTTCATTCATATAGGAGATAGATAGTTTGTAGTTATCAACACGTTTCCTCCGAAATACCCCGATTTGGGGGTTTAGAATGGGAGGAAGTGGAGGATTTTGAAAGTCTTCCACTTTCCTCCCCTTCCCTTCTATTTTCTTCAATCAAATACACACAAATCCCTCATTTTCCTCCTCTCCCCTCCGAAAAAAGTGCCAAAATCTTACGAGTATAATTTGTTTGGTCTTGGTGGAATTTGGTAGCATTATTTTGCTTATTCTATTTTTTATGAGAACAAGTTACTTTCGATTTACTTAGCTACTTGACAGTTGACTACTTCAAATTGGTTTTACTAAACATTCCGTTAAAAAACAACAGATTTAGCGATTTCAGTCAAAGTTATGAATTATGATATATTTTTGTAACTATCAAAGTACAAATAAAAAATATATTCCTTCCATCTCATTAAGATTGTTCCATATTTCATTTTCAGGAAATGTCACTAAAATTGTCTCATACCAAATTTTAAAAAATAGATGGTGTTTGAAGTGTTATTTTTTTTATTTTGTATATTCAATATTGGTGTCATTTGAAAGATAATAAAACGTTATTAATTTTGTAATACTCAGAGTACAAATGAAAAAATTATAACATTTCAAAAAAATATGAGATTTTATTTTGGTGAGGTCCTAAATAATAGTTGTACATAAGATTACTACAATTAGTACATCACATAGGTGGCATTACTTGCATAACTTTCCTTTAATTTGGAAAGTGATTTTAAAACAATAAGTGTGGAGTTGATGTGACAATATTTTCCTTAATGGTAACCTTGAAATGTATTATTTATAGATTGTAACCTTGAAATGTATTATTTATATATTCTCACCTGTTGAGCTACACTTCTACTCTTCTAGCATGTATTATTTCTCTGGTTATATTTTAGGGCAAGAACCATTCAAAAAGTGATTAACGTCATCAACACCCCATGGAACAAAATTAAAAGAAAAATTATCATTGACCTCCCTTGAGATTTAGTGTATTATATAACCCACACGGCCACACCCCTGCACTCTCAAACATGTACTCTTATGCATTCTCTATCTTTTATGATGATTAAGTAACTATTAATTTATATTTAGAAAAACCTATAGATTCCATAAATTTTGATTCAGTTCACTTTTAATATTGTAATTTTATTAAATCACGGATCTTTTGGTCAAACTTTTTCCATTAAGTCCATTTTGATAATTTTTATATTTTACCAAGTTCAAATTCGGGACGAAATGTCTTTAATATGGACAACATTAAAAGCTGACACAATCAAAAGTTACGGAACTATGTCTAGCTATAATAGTATTCTAGAAACACAAATTAAAAGTTACTTAAAGAATATGGATTGGGGAGAGTACATTTTATAGTGATGAGTGATAATATATCAAACTTGAAAGGAAAACTTAAAGAACATGGATTGGGGAGGTCATTGCTAATTTCCCAAGTAAAGAAAAACTCCAGCACCCACATTCAGAAAATTCCCAGAAATCAGACACGTTATATCCACAGCCATCATCCGTCAAACGAGTGCCTATACCGTACGACCGGTATACGGTGAGCACCGTATACCGGTACGTATTTATATTTTTTTTCCCCTTTTGTTTTTAAAAAATAGTAATAACTTTTTTATTTTTGATTCGATTTTTATAAAATTTATATCAACATTTTTTATTTTTCATGATCTTTCAAATGAGACCAATATTGCCTATGTAATTTTAACATATTAACATTTGCGTGTAAAATATGTAACTTTACGTGTTTAAATATGTAACTCACGTTCAGTCAGGCCAAATGCAACTCGTGTGTATAAATATGTATCTCTACGTGTAACAATATGTAAATTTACGTAAAAAAATATGTAACTCGCGTTCAGACAGGTCAAATGCAACTCGTGTGTATAAATATGTAACTCGCGTGTATAAATATGCAACTTTACGTGTAAAAATATGTAACTTTACGTGTAAATATATGTAAGTCGCGTTCATGCATGTCAAATGCAACTCGTGTTTATATATATGTAACTCGCTTTTAAAAAGATGTAACTTGCTTATAAAAAGATGTAACTTGCTTATAAAAAGATGTAACTTGCTTATAAAAAGATGTAACTCGCTCATAAAAAGATGTAACTCAATGTATTATCAAATGTAACTGAGGTCACTGATCCACTCCCAAACAGATTCGATCTTCTATTTCACAAACCTATCATCTCCCAAACAGATTCGATTTTCCTTATAATCCAATACTCATTAATATAATAGTTCAATAATTTCTTAAAATTACATAAGCAATATTAGTCTCATTTGAAAGATCATGAAAAATAAAAAATGTTGATATAAATTTTATAAAAATCGGATCAAAAATAAAAAAGTTATCATCATTTTTTAAAAACAAAAGCAAAAAAAAAAGGGGGGGAGGGTGGCAAGCTGCGTCGTTTTGCAACCGGGCGCACCATCCTCATGCTGCGCCGGTTGCATGGTATAATTTGCGCCGTCAAACTTGGACCCTCCTTATCGAAATATTTTTATTTATTTTTTACGAATTTTTAATTATTTTTTATTATTTTATTATGAATTAAAACATTTCAATAGCTATAAGGGTATATTTGTCCAAGACACATATAATTAGTCCTATGAAAACATAGTTTATTTTTGGTCCTATTTGTGCAAAGTGAGTGATTTTTAGTCCTATTTTGATAATTAACCCTATTATATAATCACTATTACTAGTATTTTATTATTAGTAATATTGTCATTATTGACCTATTCTTAATTTCTTACTCGCTCTTGACTTTTACATATAGTATGCGTATAAGATACGTGTCATTTTTTGAAATCTAGAAGCTTGTTTGAATTAGAAAGTGTAATACTCCATCCGGTCCCAAATGAAATTCACACTCTCCTTTTTGGGTAGGTCCAAAATAAACTTCACACTTTTTCTCCCTTCCTTATTTGGCAAATTATCTACATCAAAATAGTGCAAAACAGTGTCAAACAGTGCCAAACGATGTCAAACAGTGTCACAACAGTGTACTCTACAGTAAAGTGAAATTTATTTCCTTAATTTGTGTGAAGTCAAAGTGTGAATTTCATTTGGGACCGGAGGGAGTAGTATGTATGATGTTTTGCAAGATACTTTCTAATATTACATTTATGTATGTGTATTTTTAAATATTACTAGAATAATATTTGTTTACAAAAATATGGCTAAAACTAATGCATATGATCACCAAAGTTTAATAATTAAACCATTGTTCTAAAACTCGCTAGACGCTAGTCGGACGGTTGAGAGACGTCGAGCGTCTAGGTCGTCGACTACGCCGATTTTTTGGCCGCCTAGACCGATTTTTTGGCCGACTAGACCGATTAGTTTTCTACAGTACGTTAGGACCAATTATGCCAATTAATCGATCTGATTAGGCCGATTTTTAGAACAGTGAATCAAACATAGTTATAATAGACTAAAGTTACCCACTCACTACTTATGGTGTCACATTTTCTAAACAATATTTACTTTAGTCTTAATTAAATAACTTATTATTTCTTTATATACTTACAAACATTTCTATAAAAATTGAAATATTTAGTAGAAGTTAAAACACTTTTTGGCGTCTAAGTCTCGCCTATACTCGCCTCTTCATGCCTCACGCCTTTATAACACCGCCGGGTATCAATGACCACCACTTTTCACCTTAGGCGACTGAATATGCATAACCACATGATACCAAAGGCTGTCACCAATCCATCTGTTCATTAATTAATAATTGCTCTAAATAGGACTAAAAGTTAACCAAAGTGCATGTATAGATTATATGTTTATTTTTTCTGAGAAGGACTATATGTTTACAATTTTTAAATATGACTTAATTGTTTGTCATTGAGGAATTATTACTACAAAAATGCAAGGTGTACACGGTACACTTTATTGTGTGCACTATTCGTGCACTTTGTTTGTCTACACATATAAAGTTTTCTGTATACAAACAAATTCTATATTTCCTAACCAATTGTCTGTATATAGATAACATTATATGTGCAAATAGACAAAATGTGTGAATGGTCTACACAGAAAGATATATACCAATCATTTTTATTATTAAGTAGTATTATATTCCAAAATTTTGAATCCCCAACCCTAAGGGCTTTCAAGGCTCCGACCCGATAAGAAATTTGGGAGGTTGTAAGTCACGGTAACTAATAGCCCAATGGACGTAGACCTTGATCCGTGCACACAAGAAGTCCGGCCTAACACACAAGAGTCGTACGGAGTAACTTTCATACGGGTATTGCATGTTTCAATTCTTAGTCAATGTTCCGACTTTCTTGGTATTTAACCAATTGAGCTACCCTTACGACCTGTACGGGTCCTTTTTATTTATTACTTCTCCAGTCCCAGAAAACTTTGTTATTTTCAAAACTTTGACCAACTATATCTATTTATCGGAAATTATTTGTAATATAAAAATTACTACGTATATGAAAATGTATAATATTATACGTAATATTCCGTCCCATTTTACCCGTCTTACTTTCTTATTTGGATTGTTCCAAAATAAGTGTCATTTTTTCTTTTTTGGAAATAAATAGGTAATCCACAGTTCCACACCATGGTTATTACAAGGATTTTGATTTTGGGTAGGGAAACGGTAATAAAAAGTCGTAGAGGTGGCTTTCAATAATCTATTCCGTCGAGAATTATGAACCACACAATCAAGACGCAACATTGTCGTGGAACAAGCATTGTGATCCTATCTGACACATGTCATCTGATCGTTGGCCTGACATTCCAACTCAGCAATTAGCTTCACCCAAGCCGAAAAACTTTCCGGATCACAAGTTTCAGAGGTTTGGTAATCCGCAAGCTTTCCATCAGTCCTCCAACACACTAGAGAAATCAGTCGCCATTGCTCATAATCGGATCTTGATTTCATGATATGGAGGCGGTCAATGCACTGAAGTTGACTCCACTTTCCATTCATTCTGATACAAGAAGGAGCAAACCCAGAAAAATCCAACTTTTCCCTGTGAAGAGTCTTTCTTCTTCAAGTTCCGCAAAGGGTTTATCAAGAAACGTTAAAGCGACTCTCTTTCTGCTATCTTCTATTCTGAACTCCGCCTCAGCTAAAGCACTGACATACGAGGAAGCACTTGAGCAGTCAATGAACAGTGTCGGCGCTGACTTCGATGCAAGTGGGGTTGTGGAAACAGTGACCAAATTCGCCAGCGACAATCCGGTGTTTCTAGCCGGCGGCGCGGCAATCTTAGCGGTCCCCCTTATAGTATCACAGATGCTGACCAAGCCTAAGCCATGGGGGGTTACGTCAGCAACGTATGCGTATACTAAAATGGCTGATGATGCCAATGCGCAGTTGTTGGACATAAGACCGCCACGTGAGCTGAGGGGGGTGGGGGCCCCGGATATCACGGGGCTGAAGAAGAAGCCGGTGACTGTCAGCTATAACGGCGATGACAAGACTCGTTTCTTGAAGAAGCTGTCTTTGAAGTTCAAGGAGCCGGAGAACACCACCTTATTCGTTCTGGACAAGTAAGATTCTGGAAGCTGTTTTCTTTGTAAATTGTAACTGCAGAGTATTTCTGTTCACTAGATCTCTGATTCTCTTCTATTGCATCACTTTAAGTGTATGTTTGGCAGGCTAGTTTCGAAATCATCCAAATTCAGCTCTTTAATGTAAGAAGGTTGTATTGCCACTAAGTAATTTATTCAGAAAATCTACTACATATTGAAACTATTCCATAGTGCAAATTTGTCAACCATTGTTGCTCCAAACATAGCCTAAACCCGGAAACAATTTTCTCTTTAGTTATCCCACATCGGGCAAAAATAAAGGTACAAACTCACATCTAAAACATTGAACTAATTTTATATGGTTGACTTGTTAAGATGGGAATCCAAAGTCTTAATGTAGTGGTATCAACTATTAAACCATTATTATGTTCAAAAGAGCAGCTCAGTCGGAGTAAAAGACAATAAGAACATGCAAATTTTACTGTGATGTGGAATTCTTGATTGTTAATGACCAAGAAACCATTGATATTTTAGAATACTGGCTATTTAATGGTATGGAACAGCCTAATCAGCCAGTGATGAGCTGTTCGTATTTGTAATGTGATGCCTTGGAAGGTTCATATTTTCTGGAAGGTTTTCAGCCTTTTCATATTTGTGGGTTGTTTATATTATGGATGTATCAAAGGTTCATGCTAATCTAGCTTCTGATACGCCAATAATTGAAAGTCTTCTCTTTTGTGTATCAAAATGAAAGCTAGATTTGATGTAAGCTCGGAACTGGTTGCTGAGCTAGTGACAGCAAATGGGTTTAAAGCTGCATATGCAATTAAAGATGGAGTGGAAGGACCTCAAGGATGGATGGTTATTGCCCAAACTTTAGTTGCTACATACAAATTGTGTTGTTTAAGAAAATGCACATGTTCTGAAAAAAACTGTGATTGGTGCAGAACAGTGGTCTCCCATGGATACTTCCTAAGAAAACATTAAGTCTCGATCTCATCAGCAACTTTACTGATGCATTTGGTGATGTTCTCGGGGTACTGTTCTTACCACATATGCCCATCTGTGTTATCCCTCTATTTTTAAGTGTGGTGTTTTAGGTGTATGCACACACAAGAAAACACTCCTCCTAATATCAAGGTAAAACTAGTATAATATGACTATAATAACCTTACTAATGCTTTAAACTTTTCAGTAACAATTATACATATCAAAAGGTAATAGTGGAAAATGATCAATTAATGATTTGTTGATATCTTAAAGTGACGGTTATTTTGTAACATTCTTTATATTCGAAACGATGGCTAAAAGTGAATGGAGATAGCACTTGTTTTCCGGGTTTATAGTTTTGTTTGACTATTGTACCCCTAGTTTCAAGTTCCAACACATGGTTTCATCAGAATGGATGTGATTTATGGGTGGGTTGCAGGAAGGCGTTGATGGAGTGACAGCAGGCCTTGGAGTTGCAGCAGCAGCTGGATTAGGAGTATTGGCTTTTACAGAGGTCATTCTCAAGTTTTTTTTTAAATCTATTTTTGCGATATGTGCAACGTTTTTATTCATTTTCTTTTTAGGTAGAAACAATTCTTCAACTGCTTGGTTCTGCTGCAATCATTCAAGTTTTCAGCAAGAAACTCCTGTTTGCAGAGGTACTTCAATAATCTATGAGCCCTTTTGGTAAGAGTTATTTGGCTATGACTGAAGTTCTTGGTTTTTCTAAAACCAAGATCGTTTCCTGTTATTAAAATATATTAAAATATATTACAGCCAAATAAGTAATTCAAAATCCACATATGGCTACCAAAAGGTGGCTGAATGTGGTACAGGTTCTGTAACTGTGCTACACGAGAACATACTGTAATATTGTTCCTCTTTTCATATTTGAGACATAAGAACATAATAACCCATTTTAAAAGTGGTAATTCCGGACAAAAAAAATATGAGTGTCAAAAAAAAAAAACGTGTAGTACACCTACGAGCTAGTGTCACAATATGGTTGATAGAGGGTGGCTTTGCTCATGGTATGCATGGACTCTTACTAAGCAAGATTGCCTCCTAAGTTTTTTTTTACAGTTGTATCTTTAGAACTTCGAGACCTGTTTCTAAATAAAACTTTCATGAACCTATCCCCCTTTCAGGACAGAAAGCTAACGCTTCAACAAGTAGATGAGTTCTTAAACACCAAGATAGCTCCCACAGAGCTTGTAGATGAGATTAAGGTAAAATCATCATCCTATTAAGGAAGAAGTTGTTCTAAATATGAGTTGTTTACACATATCTTTAAACTTGCCAATTGGGAATTCAGCAAATAGGGAAGGCACTTCTACCAACACCAGTAAGTACTAGCAAGGCTCTACCCAGTCCTTCTGCCGAGATATCATCCCTTCCAGAGGCTAATGACATTAGACCCAAAGACGCAGCGGTATCATTCCAGTCGACTCCAGTGTTCAATTCAGTCCTTAGAGCAGACACACCTACTCCAACTCCAAAACCACTTTCTCCATATCCAAACGTAATTTCCTTTTTATGTTTACTGCTTGACATTCTGTTATGTGATTAGTACTACCCCGGCCCCATCCACACCTCAGCAGAAAAAAAAAAGAAAAATTAAATATAGAATTGAGTTTTGATAAGATCTTAGGTTTAACTAGCTAATAACAATGGCGGACAGGGGTTCTGCAGCCCCTCCAATTTTCCCCAGTGTATAATGTGTGTGTGTATACATGTAAATATGTAATTATGAACTACTCCCTCGATCCAAAGAATAAACTTCATACTTTTCACAATCCTTTTACAGTAATGATTATGTTATTCCTTTCGTTTTTCTCACCTCTTGACATCTTACGATCTCACATATTTCACTTTTAACCTGCACATCAAGTCAAAACAAGAGATAATTATAGAAAGGAGGGGGTATCAAAGAACATGTTGAAATATGCATTGTATAATATACTCATGGGCTCATGGCCCCCTCAAAACGACATTTATGGTTCCGCTTCTTGCTAATAGATTATATTCAACATTTTAATGTGGTTTAACCCAAGTGTTTTATGGTCCCCTCGAGCAACCTCAACCCAATCTTGGATCCTATCTGTAACTATCCATTTAACCCAAATACGTAACTCACAAGTTTCTTAGTATGAGCCAGATAAGGCTACAAGCCTTTAAAATTTTAAAACTTCGTTTGCTCTTTTAATTAAATATATCTTATGTTCCATTTTGCAATTGATATAAAAATTGTGATGGTACTGATATATAACACTTGAAATTTGCTTTGCAGTACCCGGATTATAAGCCTCCATCCTCACCAATGCCTTCACAACCATAGATTGAGTTGTGTATTGTTGCAGTCTTGCAGATGATAAGAGCAGTTTGTTGTTGTTTTTGTTGTTGTTCCCTGAAATATCTAAGCAAGTTACTTCTCTTGCTTATCGATTCGCCGTTAGATGGATAGAAAGATGAGTTTCAGATCATGGAAGCAGGTGTAAAATGAAAAAAAAATCCATTCAATTCCAACTAGGTGGGCTTGCTACTTGAAGAATTATGTCTGATCTTTGACATCATCATGTACATGTGTGAATTAATGCGGTAACACGAAATTATAAAAAAATAATTTTGTCATGATCCTGCAAACAAGCAACTCAAATTTATTTGCATTTGTTATTTTACTTTAGTCAATAATATTATATCCTTTTAATTTCATCTTCAAATCATTTCTGTGCGCAGCCTTTTGGCAAGGCCTTGAATAAATAAATGAGTGAATTTGTTAAAGTTGTTGAAAACTTGAAATAGCGGGGGATTCGAATGTACCGACCAAGTGCACTATAATGATTATTATATGTACGTATGCACGGAACATAATATAGGGGTGTTTGGATCTAATTCTTAAAACTGCTTCTGCTCCCTGAAGGAGTGTTTGGGTGAAAATGAAGAAGTGATTCTGGTGCTCTAATTTACTCCTAGAATCAGTTTTTTAGAAGCTGGGGGTACCAGATTCTGAAAACTGATTCTGATTCTGCTTCTGCATTAAAAAAAGAAGCAGAAGCAGAATCAGAATCAGTTCCAAACACCCCCATAGTTACATATAGAGCCCATACAGGAACATATTTAGACCGCTTTTGGTGATCTTGTTTTTCGGTTTATCAACTAATTTTTTCACGCGCTGAATTGTGTCACAATAAAAAAAGTAAGGTTGAAGTTACTTTTCTGGCTGTATTGACTGAAGTTACCGTAGATGATCATTTTAGCTGTTTTTTCATATATATTTTTCTAAATTCTGTTAATAAAATATATTTTGAATATAATTTTTTCATAAATCAGCAAGATTAGTCAATCCAGCCAATTTAACCAGAATTTCATAAATTTTAGCAAACTCAACCAATACCGCCGATTTGGGTATTACCAAATGAGCTCTTGTAGGCCTCTCTTACTACATACACAAATACGTAGTAATATTTAAACAAAACTAGTTATGAAAAAGTATAACTAAAACTTAAAATTCAAGCCCAAAATATTATCCTTATGTATACAGATATATATTATATTGATTGAGCTAGTTTTTTTTTGAAAGTAGTTGAGCTAGTTGTTAAGAGCTAAAAAATTTAAATTTAAAGATAATGAACCACAAATACATATAAAGACATTATTTTCATACACACAAATTAGTAAATGTATATATACACGTACGTCTACATATAAACAAATATATACTCTCTCAGTCCCATTTTGTAAGATATGTTTTCTATTCACTTGATCAACACAAATCATTGTTAATCTCTTACTTTATATATCAAATTTGATTCAACTGGTTTTTGCGACTTTCTAAAGCTTGTAATGTAGTTTCTGAATATATAATTCTTTTTTTCTAAAAAAATTTGAGTGTGGACAGGAATCTGTTTGCTTTGTCGTGAGTCAAACATCATAAACCGTAAAGTTCCTTACAATTCGGGACGGAGGGAGTATATATTAGTGTATACCCTAACATCTACCAGCTAAATGATGCTAAACCAAACTAAATAAGACCAGAAAATCTCAGTCCAATTAAAAACACGGCGAAGTACTCCATAACTCATAAAGGTCTAGCTATTGTACTGTATTAAAGCAATAAACTATCAACTGTATATGCATGGCATGGCATGGCGTGGAAGTAGGCAACCACAAGTCAAAGGGAAAAACAGCGATGTGGGGGTTGAGGTTTGGTTTGGTATCATCAAGACCGGCGGTTCCCTCTCAGACAGGTTAAAGAATTAATATGAGGCCGGAGGTATCTATCTGTACACAACACGCCACCACCCACCAAAGCTCGCGGCACGCCCCGATATAATTAAATGCAGACAAATTTTTAAGGATCCCACCACCTTCTCTCTATTCTCTTGTCACTTTTGCGCCCACAGATGCACTGACACTACACACATATATATCTTTAACTTATCTTCTTGCTTCGCTGCACGCCTAGAACCTTTATATATATATATATATATAAGCCCAAAACTTATCATACCATTCAAGCTCGATCAAACTCATCATCATACCATATATAGATGGATCAGATCAGCTAACTTATATACTAATTTAAGATCGATCTTATTTTAATTTGGGAGCTGATTAATTATTAACTGATTTCATAGTTTGGCTGTAATATAATATATCATCTCGATCAAGATGTACAGGCAACAGCCCCAAAAGAAACGGCCAAAGATCAACAACCAGCGCATCAGTAGCTGCAACAATGAAGGTAAGGTCAGTCATTTCTTAATTATTAAACCATTATTAAGTACGTGAAAAATATTATAACCTCGAATGCGTTTTGTTTAATTACTAACATGGGTTAAGCAATTTTCCACGCTATAATCGCTTTGTGTCATCCGGAAACATGGGTTAAACATGTGCTTTAGTACTGAGATACTAGTATATAAGACTGCATACTACCGATACCCCTTTAACTAGGTGGGAGCGGTGCTGGGAAATGATGATGACGACTACCACGGTTAAGCAATGAACATTGATTTGGCAGATTTGTTTTTAATATCTTCTTTCTTATATATTCCCTCCTCCGGCATCGTAGCACTCCGGTAGTTGACCCTGCATCTCGTCAGTCCAATCGGCCGGTCTTGCTCTTCCGTCTACAGGCAACAACCGTTATGGCGAGCGAGGACAATGAGTTGGTCATCGTTCTGCTTTGATCGAGAAACCAACGATGATGGATAAAGCGTTTTCTTTTTTTCTAATTTGAATCCTTTTTATTGTTTAATAAAGTGTCAGCAAAGTTCCAACTTAATAAATATGGAATACTTTTTTCCCAAGTTGTTAGTATATTCATGTTCGGGCAATATTATATAAACTCCAAAAAAACTTAAATAGTTTTCTTGTCACATAAAAGTGTCAATATCTATCGGTTATTATGACACTTTTACTTGTGTCAACAAAAATGTGTGTCAAGAAATGTGACATTTCTTGTAGTGACACTACAAAAAAACTTGAGATTGAGAGGGATTTTAACAATGATTTGGCAGGGATTTTGGCAGGGATATGCTAAATCCGTGCAAAAAACACTTTGGCACGAGCTAATTGGCACGAAAAATCAGTAAATCCGTGCCAAATTCCGTGTCAATCCCGTAATGTTTTGTAGTGAAAGTTCTTTTCTTTCCATGTTATTTAATTGATGTAGAGGTGAGCAGCATGGAGTGGGAGTTCATAAACATGAGCCCGCAAGAGGAGGACCTTATTCATAGAATGCACAAGATTGTTGGAGACAGGTATTAATATATACGGAGTACGTAGTAGTTTATATACTCCCTCACTCCCCAAGTGTTGTTCCCAGTTTGATCTACAAATATGTTTCTTTAAGAAAAAAGTTTTGTTATGACTTTCAAGTATACTCTTGTTTTATGTCAAATCAAGCAATTAAAAAGTAAGTCAAAAGTAATTGTAGTTGTATACGATAGTATTTTATAGATTTGAGATTCTTTTGAGATATCAACAAAAAGAAAGTTGATTTCCCCCGCCACCGAGGTAGTACTGAATATATACGAAGTTGTTTTATATATATATAGTACACACATACACATATACGAAGTATATATAAGAGTCCCGTTCGAGTCGGGAGTTCATGGCTGGAACCGCCTTGCGGAATTCACTGTTTGGGTGATTCCCTATGAGTTTTTTTGATGATTTTTTTAGAATGTTCTTCATCAAGTCTAGTTTATGAATAACGAATCTCACCTCAAACTTCAATCTGGAAGGAAGTTAACTAAATTATTGAAACATATTGCGCATTATGTACATATATGAAGCACGTTATATTTCAATAATTTATTTAACTGCCTCCCCGATTGAATTTTGAGCTGAAATTTGATATGCATAAACTAGACTTGATGAAGAACATGCTCAAAAACTTTCATCAAAACATTCCATCGAGAAGCACCCCAAACAGTAAATTCACCACGACGATTCCAGTTAGGAGCTCCTGACATAATATATATATATATTATGCATATCAAGGCTATATATATATATATATATATATATATATATATATATATATATATATATATATATGAACTATGTATAAATTATGGGGATCGGAGCTAGGTGAATAAGCCACCATTGAATACAATAGTGCACTACAACAGCAAATTAAAAAGTGAATATTTCACATTAGTTTTGACGTAAAACTCATTTTTTATTTGAACCGTACTACGTAGTATATATTAAGTTTTGGTTCAGATTAAAAAATACAGAGTCTAGAAGCGGGTCTAAAAGTGTTAAGAGTTGCAGTTCCATCGTAAAAATCAGTCTGATTGGAGGAGTAGTTCAGATCCTAATATCACACTTAATTCCTTGACAAGTATCTGGTGCGAGAATTCAATAAAAAGAAGTGAGTCCAAACGTGCCCACTGAAAAAATGAATATATATATATATATATATATATATATATATATATATATATATATATATATATATATATATATATATATATATCGTGACATTTACATAATTAAGTCATCTTAGCTTTGACATCATAAATTAGTTAAGTGTTGGAAATAAAAGTGCATCCTATGAAATTTCGCATATTTATTTAAGGAGCATCTTTGCGCACCGTAAGTATTTCTCTGCGCACCTATTTTTGAAGAGTCGTGGTCAATTATACCCATGCATATATAATTTCTTTTCTATTTCAATTTGTACCCGTTATTCCTTGTGTTTACATTTTTAGCCGTAGGGTTATTACTTACTACTCCAGGACTCCGTATATATTATTAATAAGTAACACTTCTCTATAAAGTATATTCATATTTTAATAAAAACTATAGAAATTGATAAATTAATATCTTGTTCATTATCATTAAGATAATGAACAATTAAAATTGACAGAAAAAATCAATTTAATCACAAATGTTAATACATTCATGATTTATTACATTGCACATTTTCATTTCACATAGTGTACAAAAATTATATAGTTAATATTTTAACAAAAAATAAATCTTCCTTTTTAAGTCTTTCATTTTTTTAATATTTCAATTGCGAACTTTAAATTTATAATTTATTTTTGTTTTTTTTGAATTTTTTATTTATTTAAATTCAATAAATGTAAATTTACTTCTTTATAGGAACATTAGGGATATTTTTGCATTTTTTAGAAGTTCAAGAGTATATACGCACCTCCACATATACTTTGGGGGTATATTTGCACATTTTCCCTACTCTATGTTGTACAATATATATACATCAAAACTATTTTCCCTCAAGATTGGTTTTAAAAAAGTCCCTAACTATAAAATTATAAATATT